GAAGGGGGGAGGAAGGAAGGAAGGGGGGAGGAAGGAAGGAAGGGGGGAGGAAGGAAGGAAGGGGGGAGGAAGGAAGGAAGGGGGGAGGAAGGAAGGAAGGGGGGAGGAAGGGAGGGACAGAGAGTGGTGTGGGGGTGTGATCAATGTGATCAGCATAGGAAAGGGGGAGGAAGGAAGGGAGGAGGGACAGGCAATGGTGTGGGGCAGGCTCTAGGGAGGGGATGGAGGGGGAGAGAGTGGTGGGGACTAATGAAGGGGAAGGGGGTAGTGCTGGGCCTCGTCGTCCATCGTCGTCGTCATCCTGGGTCGTCGCGTGGTCATCGTCGCGCTGTCGTCGTCGCGTTGTCGTCGTCGTGTGGTTGTCGACGTGTTTCGTCGTCGCGTGGTTGTCGACGCGTTGTCGTCGGTTTGTGACGTGGTGTTGCGGCGTTGGCGTGGTCGTCGTGGGCGCTCGTGGATGGTGGTGTGTTCGTCGCGTTGTCGTCGTTTTGTGACGTGGCGTTGCGGCGTTTGCGTGGTCGTCGTGGTGGGCGCTCGTGGATGGTGGTGGGTGCTCGTGGATAGTGGTGTTGTCGTCGTCCGTTTGGCTGCCACGTCACTGGCGGTGGTCATTGCCGTTCGTTGCTGGGTGGTCGTCGCCGTTGTGGAGTCGTCGTCGTCGTCGTGGGTTGGCGTGGCGTTGTCGGTTTATCGTGGCTGTCGTTGGGGTGGGGAAGAGGATGGTTGGTGGTGGGGGAAAGGAATGGTATTGAATTTGTTTGGTAACGTTGTCTTTGTTTGGTAACAGAAGTAAAACAAACAAACAAAGGACCGGATTCCGTTGCATTCCGTTCCTGTGCATTCCGCGGATCATTCCGGTGTCAATTCCGGAATGCCCAAATTCCGCCGGAATGGTAAGGTACCGGAATGATGAAAATAGCAGGCCTCCCTGCCAAATTTCATTCCTCCGGAATCCACCGGAATCCGCCGGAATGACCGGATTCCTGCAGGAATTAGGGGGGCACTGATAAGACCTCTCACTGTCAGGGTGTTTGACATTGAAATTGAAGGTGCCGCGGGGGGATGTCACCGTCAGGGTGTTTGAGGTTGAAATTGAAGGCGTCGCAGGGGATATCACCGTCGGGGTGTTTGACATTGAAATTGAAGGTGCCGCAGGGGATGTCTCCGTTGGGGTGTTTGTCATTAAAATTGAAAGCACCACAGAGGATGTTGCCATCAGGGTGTTTGAGGTTGAGATTGAAGGCACTGTCGGCAATGGCCCCATCAGGGTGTTTGACATTGAAATTGAAAACATGACCTCCACAATATGGTCATCTGTGGCATGATCTTGAATACGTCAAGTTAGCAGAGCACTTTATTGACTGTGGCAGAGCATTTGATTGACACTGACAGGGAATTGAGAATTCAAAATGTTGACTCCCGCGGGGCATTTGATTGACTCCGACGGGGCATTCAAAATTCAATATGTCAGCTCTGGCGAAGCATTTATTCAAGATAGAGGAGTCAATCCACTACAGCATTTTTAAGCTGGTGCCCAGATCATCCATCCATGTGAACTGAAACATGCAATGGCTTGAAATATGTGATTTGCAGAA